CAGTGTTTTCTGTGTACATAGTTTACGTTTATTTCAGCATACTCAACAAGCTGACACCTGAGAAATTCGACAAACTTTGTCTTGAACTTCTCAATGTGGGCATCGATTCAAAAGTTGTCTTAAAAGGAATAATCTTATTGGTGAGTATTTCTTGTCAGTGTTAATTTGATCTTGTAATAAGCATGTTGAATCATCACCAGTGCTTTTTGTTTCTTTAGATTGTCGACAAAGCTCTTGAAGAACCCAAGTATAGTCAGCTATACGCTCAGCTTTGTCAACGCTTGTCAGAAGATGCACCCAACTTTGAAGAGCCACTTGAAAATGCAGCCGCAAACAAACATAATACAGTAAGTGTTGTCAAATGTATGTCAGTTTTTAAAATATCTCGAAAATCTGGTTTCACACTGTACAATTGTTTTGCATTTAGACATTTAGAAGACTTCTCATATCCAAGCTTCAGGATGAGTTTGAAAATCGTGCCAGAAATGTCGAACGTAAGTAACATATTAAAGAATACTGATACAAAGTTATGTTGTTTTTGTTTTGTTTTTGTGTTTTTGAGGATTGGGTAAAGTAATGTGTTTTTGTCTGTTTAGTGTTTGAGAAACATGATGCGCCACTCACTACAGACGAGGAGGAGCAGCAGGCTATTGCAAAGATCAAGATGCTGGGCAATATCAAATTCATTGGAGAACTGGGCAAACTTGGTCTCATTCATGAATCCATCCTCCATAGGTGCATCAAGACAGTAAGTTATATTGTTTTTTTCTGAACTAAGATTGGAGCTGCTGTCTTCATGAATGCTGTTGTAATGGTTTGTGTTTGCTTGTAGCTATTGGAGAAAAAAAGAAGAGTACAACTCAAGGATATGGGTGAAGACCTTGAATGCCTCTGTCAGATAATGAAGACAGTGGGGCCTAAACTTGACCATGAGAAAGCTAAAGTAAATATTTTATTTTTAGAATTTCTTTTGTTGATCATGCTGTATTTGTCAATGTAAGATTTTATTATTTTGTAGGCTTTAATGAACCAATACTTCAGCCGGATGCAGGCCCTAGCTAACAACAAAGAGCTGCCATCTAGGATTCGTTTCCTGTTGCAGAACATCATAGAGCTACGTGAGGACGGATGGTCTCCTCGCAAAGCCTATGTGGACAATGGACCCAGGACAATTAGTCAAGTCCGACAAGATGCAGTGAAGGCAAGACAGAAAGCTCATATTTTAGCTAGTATTGATTTTAAATATATGTTGTCCATATTTGTTGACCAGCCTCTATTTTGCAGGAGTTGGGTGTTTTTATTCCACCGCAAAATGATGGATTCAAGAATGACTTCTTTGTGGATAACTCTTTCATGCCATCCAAAATCAAGTTTGACAGGGAGACTATTGGAGGCCTTGCTGACATGTTTGGACAAATGCCTGGTATGTTTTGCTTTGACTTTGAATTTGATGGTATTTGCTGTTAATTAGGTTTACACTTCTGAACATGTGCGATCTGGAATTTTACAGGAAGTGGCATTGGCACAGGTCCAGGGGTCATTCAAGACCACTATTCTCCCACCTTCACTCGTCATCGAGCCAACCCAATGTTCAACGGCCACACTGGCAATTCGAATGGCATACATCAGCCCTCGTATGAAAATGGAACCAAGCATTACAACAAGACTAACCAGGTACCTGCTTTGAAAATGTTGAGCCATTAGACATGATGTAGTCTTGTACTAAAATGTTTTTGTTTGTTTTCAGGGGCAGAATTCTCCAGTTTTTAGCCACAAACAAAACCATTCAAGCCAGATGCAGTCTAAAGATATGGGGTCAAGATTCAACAAAAAAGGGAAGATGAATGCAGAAGAAATCAGCCTGAGGCCAGCACAGTCTTTTATGATGAATAAAAAGCAACTTCCAAAACTGCAGCCACAAGTGACAATGATGCCTCCAAGTGCTCAAGGATCTCCACTAGGACAGGTAACAACAAAGTCGAGACTATTTACACATCTGCCTATTTGCATATCTTGTTCTTTTTAAAGTTTTTTTTTTTTTTTTTCCAGTCTCCACAACTTGGTCTGAGAAGCAATCCACCACCAATACAAGAAAAAGCAAAGTCTAACAAAAAGACACCTCCAACTAAGGAGGAGTTGCGTAAAACAACTGTAAGTTCCTGTCATATTTTCACAACTATTGCACAAGATTTAATTGTGGCTAACCGCATTTGTTCTTCTACAGGAAACTATTATGTCTAACTACCTAAACAACAAAAATGTCAACGATGCTGTGAACAGTGTGCGGGACTTGAAGCCTCCCAAGCACTTCCTGTCGGAACTCGTGAGCAAGGTTGTAGTGTATTCCCTCGACCGCTCTGATGAAGACAGAGAACATACCAGTACTTTTGTCCATACACTGTGCACCAGCGGCCTCGTGACTGGAGAAAACCTGCAGCAGGGCATTTTGATGGTTGTTGATCAATGCCCCAAAATAGAGGAGGAGGTCCCACTGGTGAAGTCCTACCTGGCTCAGTTTGCAGCTAGGGCTATTATCGCAGAGCTTGTCAATATGTCAGACTTGGCTCACCACTTGGAGAATGGTTCCCACTTCCCCCTGTTCCTCTTGTGTCTGCAGCAGATGGTCAAACTCAAGGACCGCGAGTGGCTGTCTGACCTCTTTCAGCAAAGTAAAATCAACATGCTCAAGATGCTACCTGGTATGTACTGGATTTAGAAATTCAGTCTAAACACATTTATACTTAAACACAACGAGGCAGACTCAATATAAGTGCTAATTTCTTTTCTCCTTCCTCCCCTGAACAGAAATTGATCAAAACAAGGACAGAATGCTGGAAATACTGGAGGGCAAGGGCCTGAGCTTTTTGTTTCCTCTAATGAAACTGGAAAAGGAGTTGTTGAAGCAGATTAAAGTTGATCCTTCTCCCCAATCCATATACAAGTGGATCAAGGACAACATCTCTCCAACTCTTCACACAGATAAAGGCTTTGTCAACATTCTTATGACCAGGTAGTTATTTGACAATTTCTCCTAAGCTTGACCTGTACCTACATTGAACAGTATCGAGTAGGGCTGGGTATCATTATGAAGTTGCTGATATGATACATACACCGATGCATATCTCGATACAGTGAGCTTTTGATTCAATATGATATATTTCAACTCGATTCAATACAGTTCAATAAAAATAAAGACTAAATCATGTCTGTGATACTAAGTCTTTGTGTTTCAGATTAACTATGCACAAAAATTGTTTTAACAAACATTTTATTCATCAAAACAGTGAAAATGTCAAATGTGTCGCATAAAGTTTCCTTCCTCTAAACAAGCAACAAAACTGTAGCACTGTAACAAAATAATTTAGTAAAATATACCCAAAAGTACTCTTGGTGATATATCGATACAGCAGCCCACGATATTGATACTGTATCATCACATTAAGCGATACGATATATCGATATTTCAATATTTTTGCACACCCCTAGTAACAAGTGTTGTTGTCTTGTTTCAGCTTTTTGCAGTACATTCTGTATGAGATCATCCCTGAGGATGATGAAGAGCAACTTGCAGCACCCAGCAAAGAACAACTTGATGAGGAAAAGACACTGCTACTATCGTTCAAACCAGTTATGCAGAAGTTCCTCCATGATCATGTTGACCTGCAAGTTAGTGCCCTATATGCCCTTCAGGTCCACTGTAACAGCAAGAGTTTTCCTAAAGGTATGCTGACACCGATACTTTACTGCCATGTATTCAAAAGTTTGATCTTAAAAATCATCTGTTTTTTTTTATTATAGGAATGTTGCTACGCTACTTTGTCCACTTCTATGACATGGAGATAATTGAGGAAGAAGCCTTCCTCTCATGGAAAGAGGATATCACCCAGGATTATCCAGGAAAAGGAAAAGCGCTGTTTCAGGTAAGACTCGTTAGGGCCAAACAAGACTGACCTATTTTTAGTACATGGTTTTAAAGTTATGAATACTTGTTGCACAGGTAAACCAGTGGTTGACTTGGCTCGAGACTGCGGAGGAGGAAGAGTCAGATGATGAGGATTACTGAGAACAGGGCAAAAGCCATGCAATTTTTTTTTTTTTTTTTTTTTATTAATTTTTTTTCATTCTTGTCTTTGTGTTTTTGTTAGTATTATTCAACCACTGTTACACTTCATTCCACAGTGACTCATCAACCCAGAATCAACACTTTATTTATGCATCTCTTTATATTTGAGTTTAAATGCATGTCTATGTTTGGGAGTTTTTACAGATGGTATATTGCAGGCAAATGCACCAGCATCAGATCTAACCTATTATCACTTGGTCACTAAGTGCTAACCATAGATTTAAGAACTGTTTACAAGAGAAGGCTCTAAACGTCAAGGGCTCTTTCACTTTATCTACGCTTGTTAAAATTTGGTTTCAGATGCACTTTGCCAAGCATCATGAGATGTGCAATAGATTTACACTCTCCTTGATTTGTGAAACAATCTTTTGCAATGGTTAGTTGTGGTAATAATGGTTTCACGTGCTGAAAGCAGGCTTTATTTTAAGAACATAATTTGTATTCAGTAATGGTCTTTTTATTTGCACAATGTGGTTGCAGTTTTATTTTAGTTTAGGTAATTGCTTTTGTATGAATCTTTGTGTGTGGCCTTTAATTTATCAGATGGATATACCTCTAAAGTATCGGACTATACTTGAATGTCTCCGTTTGGACATGCCGAGACAGCCAAAGGTTTAAGTTTCCTGTGCTGCAGTTGTTCACCATCCCAAAGTGGTGATTTTTAAGTCTCTGTATTAAGTTTTAATATGATCTTTTTATCTCCATGAAATTGCAGAAATTATGTATATGTAAACTTGGGCTTTTTAGAAGCAGTGTTGATGCCATGCGCTTTAAAGCCTGGGTGTACAACTACAAGATCAACCTTTAATAAAGTCTAACAATGAATCCCCTTTGTCTTGCTTACTGCTTCAGTTAAATGAATACACTTACAACTTGATTGTGTGACCACATTTTTAATGGTAATATCTGATCAGGGGTCTCTTTATAAAAACATTGTAAAATTGTATGTATGGGTAAAATGCAAACCACAAAAACTCATGTCTCAACACCCAACATCCAGAGGTTTCTAGACTAGGCTGCCCATTTGTATTTCATTATTTTTTAACAGCTCATAAAGTTAATGTGGAAAGGCATGTATGTGTGCTTTATAAATGAGACCCCAGGACTTTATAGAAGCAATGTTTACTCGTTCAAATTTACAGTACTGGGTAGAGTTTAAAATAAAGTCATGGGCCCCACTCTGGTTGCCTGGGATGCAGAACAGACACTTCTCCAACACTTACTAAGTGCAAGAGTTATTCTGGGCAATTGGTCTGGTAATCTTACAATAAGTCTAGATCTGTTTTGAGGAGATATCATTAAACTGTTACATAAGATAATGCAATTCTGATGCATTACAAGTTTGTGTATTCTTAAAAAAACTGATTTTTGCACTGTTCTGCACATAGTGTAAAGACAATACAAAAGTGACATTTAATGCAAGTAGTTCATGTACTGAACAAAAGACAAAAGCAGGTCAGCACTGTAGCAAATGGCTGATAAGACCAGTACATCACATTAAACTGTAGTAATACGGAAACCAAAATGGCCTACAAAAAAACAACTACTCATTTAGTCTGTATGAACAAGCAAAATCAGGAGAAGGATAAGTAAAGTTAAGAAAACATTTAATCACTGTCGTCATCCTCATTATTAGAGGCTTCTGGTTCAGAAGCATTTTCCGATCGCCGTGGTGACCCCTCGTTGTCAGATCCGGCTTCAGATCCCCGGTCTGAGGCTGGAGCCGGAGATGCAGCACGGGACTCATCAGACCCAGAGCGACTTCTCTTGCTCTCATTATCCGACTGCTCAGAGTCGGACTGCCGCTGCACCCTCCTCCTCTTCTTCACTGGACGGTCACTTCCTGAGTCATCATCAGAGCCCCCAGACCTCCGAGGACTTCCAGCCTCACTGCCTGAGCGGTTCTTGCCTCCATCAGAGTCACTGTCTGAGGCAATACGTTTCTGGTGACCACCCTCATCTTCAGACCCTGATCCACTGTCTCGATTTCTGAAGGAATATGTACAATCATCTCTTCTATTACAAACATTCAGTGAAAAGTTGCAATGCAAACATATCTACTGTATTGTTGGAAAACTGAACCAACTGCAAATATGCTATTGTTGGTTCCATGCACATGCATACTATTAAGCATGTGTTGGAAAGATGGTTCTATATTTTTGATACAAAAATATTTACCTGTCTTCAGCTATCTTCAAGCCATCCTCATCTGAAGAGGAGTCAGAAGAAGAGATGATAGCCTTTGATTTGATTTTTCCTTTAAGTGAAGGAGGCAAACGTTCCGGCTGGGGCTAAAAAAAAAAAAAAAAAAAAAAAGATTTACTTAGGAGGATGCTTTTTATTGTCATTTGGTCATAATTAGAATGTATACAAACCCTAGGGGCCTTTTTGCGTTCTTTAGGTTTCCGTTGTTTTTTAGGCCGTGATTCTCCTTCCTCATCACTGTCATCTCCTCCACTTCGAGCAGGCCTAAAATATACAAGCCATTTAAGGAAAGTATTATTTTCTTTCTAAAATGAGGCAATGCAGCCATTTTCTTGTGCTTAATTACTTTCTCTTCTTTTTACGCTGTTTCTTCTCTCCTTCCTCGGCATCCCCTTCCTCTTCACTGCCACTGCCCTTTCTTTTCTTCTTCTTTTTGACGGGAAGGTCCTCATCAGAATCATCATTAACAAACTCATCCATGTCACCTCCTTTCTTGCGCTGCAGAAATACAAGTATTGGGATTTAAAAATCATTCTGATAGCTTTTGTTATTTATATGCAATGACAATCACTTACGCGGCCTCCACCACCCTTCTTCTTTTCTTTGGCCACTTCTTTTGGTCCGTCTGCAAAGGTGAGCAGGTTCTTGGTCTTTTCCACATACAAAGCTCTCTGCTCCAAAAGCTTCTTCTGTTCCTCAGCCTCTCTATTACGTTTTTCTTCCTACAATGAAGTTCAAGAAAACAAAGAAAATAGATATTTTCTTAAGTGACAAATTCATTTGTCAGTGGTCAGCAACACTCACCTGTTCTTTTAATAGCTGTTGTCGTAGCAAGTCTCTCTCTTGTTCCTGTTTGGCACGCATCTCCCTCTCCTCCTCATCTTGCTTTCTGGCTCGAGCAACATGATACTGAGCCTGACTCAGCAGATCTGAGCATTGCCTGCAACCACAATATAATCAATTACATAAAGTAATCACTCATCATAAGAGACCAAACAGGGACACTCTAATATACATGACTATGTCACCTAGCTTCAGAAGCAGCAAGAGCAAGGTCAAACCGCATTTTGTCTCCAGCTTTGCTCAAGTAGCTGAAATATCTGTGTAAAGGATATAGTGAATATGTGATTTAAACAACTGAATTATAATCTAGATTGACATATAAGTAACTACCTGTGTGCTAGTTCAAGCTCTTTGACAGCACTGAGCACAGCCTTCAAGTTGCTCTTTTCATCTTTGAGTACAAGAGTGGCTAATCGCTGGAGCACCAGAGCCACATTAAACATCAGCACAGTGTCACTTGGAGCCACATGACGCGCCTGATGTAAATACAACAAATACAATTAAACACTTTAACACACATATTCAAGAAAATAAAGATTTATATTGAATTACCTTCAGAAGCATCTGTTTGCACTCTTGGAGTTTCCCACATTTGAATAGTGCTCTTGCAAGGTATAGCAGCACCTCAGTATTTTGGTATTTGTAAAATTTCTTCAGGCAGTTTTCATACTGTACAACAACAAATGTACAACTCAAAATGAAAAAGGGTCAATTTGTCAAGTGCCTAATGACTTTAAACAGCACTAACCATTTGTACAGCACTGATGTACTGCTTCTGTTCGACATAGATGTGAGCCAGGTTGAGCCAGACGTCACTGATATCTGCAGTGGCTTCTCTCACCTGAGCAAACACATCACGGGCCTCTCTGAAGTAGCCCTTATGGGCCAGGACAGCACCTAACATACATAACATTTAAATGCATAGCTCTTTACCTTCATGTTTATTGTCCCCCATAGTAGAAATTTGTACACAGTAACTAAATTACAACAGTAGCACCCACCAATGCCATTGGCAGCATAGAGGTTCTTAGAGTCATTGCGCAGGACTTGCTTGTAAATGGCCAATGCTCTGTCCTGATGTCTTTTTTCCTGTTGAGAGAAATACAAGGTTTACAATTGTATTTTTCTGTCGCACACTACTTTACTATGTTGTAATTCAGTTAAAAAGCTACCTTTTCCCTGTCTCTGGTGGGCTGATGCAGTGTCTGCAGCCACACGTTACCCAAAGCCAACATAGAATAAGTGTCATTTTGTGTTGACGGCTGCTTTAGAATACGCTCAAATTTCTTTTGCCCTGGACCCCACTCCTGTTTAGCCAAGTGAAGGTTTCCAATCAAAGACCAGGCATCTGGGTGATCCTGAGATAAAGAGTAAAAGATTGTTAATTTGATCTTCTAATTGGTATTTTTTGTTTCTTTTTCCATCTTGAGAAATTACCTGATTAATCTGTAGAGCTTCTTTGAACCAATCTGAAGCCTCATAGAAGTTTCCTTTATCACGGGCCATAGCTCCAAGTCGCAAATAACCTGCACACATAAAGAACAGTTAATCTTTTGTTTGAAAATACATTTAAATAATATTTTGCACAAATAATACATTTCTTACAGTCAACATAATTAGGATGCTCTCTCAGGATATTTTTGTAAAGCTTCTCAGCTTCGTGAAATTCACACATAGCTTCATAAAGTCGAGCCAAATTGTAAGATGTTGTGACAGAAATTGCATTGTAGTAATGCTCATCATGTTCCCCTTCTGCTTTGGCACGTTCCAGAGATGCAAGGAAATATTTCTGTAAAAGTAATGCATACAAAGGAACAATGAGAAAACAAACAGTAAATCAGACTTGAAACACATTTGGGTACTTTTTGTACATTTGATTGCTACACACCTTTGCTTCTCCAAGGTTTCCTAGTCTGAAGTGAAGTGCTCCCAAGTTATTGAGAATCTCAGGAGGGACATCTGCCTGCACTTTCTCTTGCAGGATACGAGTTGCTGTCCCATAAGCAGACAATGCTCCTTGGATGTCAGTCTGCTCCAGGATTTGAGCCAACTCAATCCAAGCCTCCACATCATCTGGGTACTGCTCCGTGACCTTTTTCAAATGACCCTTGAAGAAAAAATACATGATACAGATATGTTATTTCATGTTCTTAATCAAACATTGACTAAACTGTACTGAATACATACTTTGGCAATGTCTCTCTTTTCTTGATCATCTGAAGTGGCATAGAGGGAACCAAGAATTTTCATAGTTTCATAGTTGTTTGGGTAAGCCTTTAAAACCTTTTCAAAACACTGGGCTGCATTTTCTTTGTCCCTTCGATAAACATACATTTGGCCTAACCCAAAGAAGGGCAACACAAAAGTCGATGAGGCAAACTGAGTGGCCTGGTAATAGTACTGAAATGCTTGGTCATAGTCCTCCTGGTTACAAAAAAAAAAGAGACAAATAAACAAATATTAATACAGTACATCATTATACATAAATACATAAATATAGATACAATAACATGTACATCATGAAATATAGCATTTACAAGACAAATATTACCTGCACATGAAAAGATCTAGCCAACTGGTAACAGCTCTCAGCTTGCATGGCCTCAACTTCAGTATTATGAAAAGCATGTAGTGCCAAATGCTGCACTTTACTGTAGTCCTGTGATAAAATACAAAAAAATGTGAATAAGACAAATGAGATTTTAACAGTGTGTCTATGTAAAAGTGTGGATTACCTTTTTAAAGAAGAAGTGGTTGGCCAAATGGTTCAGCACCATGGGGTTGCTGGGGTCAATGGTATAAGCCCGAGACAGGAGCTGAACTCCATTCTTGATGGAGTCGGCTTCTTTGTTGTTGAGCTCCAAAACAGCTAAACCAACAAGTGCTCCCACACATTTTGAGTTGAGCTCTAGAGCTCTTCCAAATGCCAGACGGGCTTTTTCCAGTTTATTGAGCTTTACAAAACAGTGACCCATTCCAAGACGTACCTCAGCTGGATGCAAGAAAAAGTAAACATTATAAACATAAACGTATACTATATTTGTGGAGATATAAAACTCACTATTATGTATAACTTATATTTACCTGGGCAGCCAGGGTTCGTACGCAAGGCTTTCTTGTAATATGCAAGTGCTCCTCTGTAATCCTTCTTATTGAAGGAGATGCAAGCCTTCCCTAGGGAAACACATTTTTATAATTTAACTTGAAAAACACAATAGTTGTTAATTATTCTAATCAAATTTACCAAGCAACGCTGGAATATTGTTGGTGGACTGATTAAGCACAAAGTGAAACTGAGCATCTGCTTGATCCATCTTATCTCCTTCCAAGAGGCAGAAACAAGCTCTTCCAAGAAGATGGTTCTGAAAAATTAAAACAGTTTAAGTAAGTAAAATAATATCTGATACGCTACAACATTTATTTTTACCTGATCATACATGATGATCTTGTCTGCCATTGTGTAAAGGAGGGTGGCTTGTGTGATGAGCTCTTTCTTGGCATCTTTATTTTTCTCTTTACGTGCTTGCTGAACGTAGTAAGCTGCTAAAGTGTCCAGACAGGTCATCTGGTCTTTTTCATGATCTCTGTAATCAAGGTTTCCATCTATACGTGCAGCCTCCAACAGCTTTACAAAGTCTTCAGTTTTGCCTTGCTTGTAGTACTCCAACTGATGATGGTGATGATAGAAAATATATACATATTAAACAATTAGATTTACTATATGCAATAATTACAGTTGTTTACTCACCGCCAGTGCTATCCATATGTGCAGTTGTGTATGTTCCTGTTTCAGAATGCTGATGACCTCGTCTCCTTCAGGAAGCTGGTCAAAGTCCAGCTCAATGACCTGCAGAGAGCATCACAGTAATAATAGTAACAACAAGAATGAGAAGATGTACCACTGAAGCAATACATACATCATAGTAAATAATTCGTTACAAGCTATCTATAAATATTTAATTTACAAACATAAAACTAAATTTGACTCGATATAAAGCAAAAGAAGCACATGATGTCTGCTCACAAAAATAATGTAATGAGTAGAAGACAAATAAAAAACATTATTAGAGAATATGTGCGTGCTAATGCTACACCGATAACGTCGTATAATAAGAACAAGAGTTGGATTATGATTTTACCTCATCTGTGTCCCGAAGTGGGATCTCAATGGAACCCCGAGACATCTTGACTGGTTAGCAATCCACTCAGTAACCCACACAGATCCTTTGATCCTCTGAAAGTAACAAAATAATCGTCTGCTGATTTTTAGCACTTCATGCTTCAGAGAGGAAGCAAACAGCGACGCACGGTGCCACAAAATTGATAGTCCGTACAGAAACTCGAGAATGGGAACACGTTCCAACCACAGGCGTCGTAAGGTTGTTTGTTTCTTTCACAATGTGCCAAAGTGATTTAATTTCCACTATAAAAAGGGACTTTTTACGAGACGTCTAGACTTAGATGAGATGGGAGCATTTAACCCCCCAAAACAATGTAATTATGTAAAGTCCCATTTGAAATCTGAAATCAAAACCCTTATGTTTTGGTGTTGCAATAATAGTTAAAGTAATTGAACCGCACTCTTAAAGGAAAAAACAAAAGTGGGGGAGAACTGGAGACATGTTTTCTCAACTAAACAATTATAGAATGATATCCATGCTAGGAATCTCAGCATAAGGATGCTAGATGAGGAGAGTAAAATGGGGGGGGGGGGGGGTCCTGGGTGTCAGCTGGTTTTGATGTGAAGCAGTGAAAAAGGTTACAACAGCACCTTGAAACATTCTAAACACGTCATGGTTAAAGCTTGAGGAATATTACTTAAAGAAGTTTATTTTTATTGAAACGATCTTTCCAAACCTGAGGGGTAAGTCATTCTTAATTTGTATTAAATAACACTATCATTGCTTTATATTTTGAACTTGTCAAACAAGACTAAACGACAATTTTGTGAATAGTAACCATTTCTTTGTGCAGATAGTCTATTACTAAAAAGTAATGACACCTGTTTCTGACATTTTCCGATTAAATTTACATCACTACCCCCTCTTTCTTGTTAAAGCTCTTCCAGGGATGTAGGCAATTAATGCTGCCAGCTTGGTAAGATTTACTTTGACAACAAATATCTGTAAATAAATTCTCTAAGTTTTGGTTTTGTATCAAAAAGAAAAAAAAACATTTATAATGCTCTGACTTAAAATCATTTGTTCAAGGCTTCATCATAGACATCATCATAAGAAAAATGTCCAATGGCCAGGATGGTAATTGTTGCTGAATTATTCCATTTTTTCCATTATGTATACTGTCTGTTAAATTTCAGATTTAGCTAAACCAACATCTATTTTTTAAGCTTGGGAGTCACGCAGTGATGAGACGAAGAATCTCCCTAACAACTCTGTCTTATCAGAGCATGAACTCCTTGACATCATGTACAATGCTTGTGATGTCAATAACACAGGTATGGAAATGTATACCTCATCCTGCTATTTTATTTATTTAATTTATCTTACACATGGCTCTCAGTGACTTAATTTGTTTTCAGGGGAAGTGTTGGTGTCTTCTATCGTACAGTATCTGCGGACAATGACAGTTCAAAGTCCAGATCAGGATCGTCTCACTGCTCTACAGCTTCTCCTTGATCCTGACTCTGTGGACCCGGCTGTGAACAGAGAGACCTTTCATTCTAAAATGAGGGAATGGATCAGCCAGTGCAGTCAAGACAGGTTTTTTTTTTTCCAGCCTCTACAATAAAGCTTGGGCTAAAGATTCAATAAAAGCTTTTATATTCCCAGTAACTTCTCCCTCTGTTTTTCAGATGCGATGTTGATAGTGGTCTTGTTTCTTGGTCAGACTCATCTCAAAACCTTGTAAATGGTAAGCTCTGTGTATTGAATTTATAGCACTGATCCAATCTGTATTAAACAAAGTGGTTTCTCTTCAGGGCTGGATTTTTCTTCATGTCAAAGCAAAAGTGCTTCTTCAGAAAACCACCCATGCACATGGTCAGAATACTTTGTTAACTATAATTTAATTGATATGCATTTGCAACAATATGGATATTTAGATTTTTTAAATTTGATTTTTTTGCAGCGCTAACTGCAGTGATGGAAAAGACCTGCTACGGACAGTGGCTGAATTAAAGCATGCCCACCGTAAACTGAACGAACAGAACAACAGCCTCTTAAGAACAGTAGCCCAGTGTGAAGATATCAACCTGCAGCTCACACTGGAAATCACAGACCTGCGGGGAAAGCTCACAAGGCAAACCATTTTATTCCTTATTTCTGTGTACATATTTTTCTCTCAAAATGTAGCAACAAATAGCTCTATAACAATATTTTACATTGTAAATTAATATCATACACTTCTTCTGTTTTATTTTTATATTTAGTGCCCAACGGTCTGTAGTTAGAACTAGATCTTTGACACAAGAGCTGGAGGAGCTGCGTCAAGCATTCAAAGAAGCCCAGGAGCGAGCCAGCAGAAGTCAGAGCAGCTGCACCAAACTAGTCATTATCCTTTTGTTTAAAGAACTGTTTATTCAAAATGGGTTGTGCAGCATATTTAATAATTTTTTTTTTCTTCTTAGAACAAAGAAGTAGAATGCCTAAAAATGCACATCAGGAGACTGGAGGACAAGGTAAGTAGTTTTTTTTTTTTTTTTTTTCCAATAATACTGTCCACAGCTGTGCCTTATAAACTCTGCTCTAAGTGCTCTGTTCAGGCGGCAAATAAAACCTTTTTTTGTTCTTCACAGAATGAGAAGCTAATGTTTGAAAGGACATGTTCAGAGGACAGCATCAACAAACTGATGAAGATCAACTCTGAGCTCAGGGTAGGGTCATCAATTTCATCCACTTATTTTGTATTAAAATGTGGATTTATTAGTACACATATTGTCCTTTTTATAATGAACAGGCTGAACTTGAGGAAACCCTGGTCATGTTGACAGCAAGAGATAAAGAGATGACAAAGGTTTGTACAACTCTGTAACACAAAAGCATCAATGCAACCTAATTTAACCAAACTAAACGTTTTCAAATTCAGAAAGACATTATAATGGATAAGATGAAGAACTCTCATGTTGAAAATCACAGCATCATTGAGGTTTGTTAACGTAGCTCACTTTGTTAATTGTGCTTTTAATACGGTCCATACTGAATATTCTCTGTGTCATTGCAGGGCTTACAGTCTGAGCTGATGAGATTACACGATAACTCACAGCAAGTTCTGTTGAGGTAATCCTACACAGACGTTCTATTTAATATATGTTTAAATATAATACTAACACAATTTTCTTAATTTTATTTCTGTTTCTAAGATATGACAGACACTGCATCAGTTCCCAAAGTCTGTATAGCCGTGAGCCTCCAAACCATCGCTCTATTAAGAGTGAAATTCAGGACACACAACAGGTACTACTCAAATTTTTATTTAGATTTTTTCGAGGGATGTGTCTTTTTTTTAAAATGACTGCTCTATTGCTTCAGCACCATCACAAAACTCTGGAGGATATCAGCCTTCCAGCCCTTCAGAGTGAAGAGATCCAAAACATCCTCCACAAGATCAAGACTGCAGAAATATCCCAACTCCTGCTGAATAAGTGTCCTGACAGAGTGAGTGCAGCACCAGTATACAGAGTATGATCTACTTTTACGCTGTAATATTCTCTTACACTCATGTTTTTATTTCACATAGGACTCTGCTCTTGTTGAAACACAAGATAGGCCTTTAGCTCATCGCCATCAGCAACAGGCCAGCATCAAGCAGCAGCTTGTCAATGTGTATGTGAGATTTTACCTCTCCTCTTATGGTAATGGGCTGGCTTTGGTTGATGTTAAGCTCCACTCTGAGAAGCAAACTTTAACTCATAAAAGAGTGTCTGGTCTTGTCAGTGTATTTACAGGCTCCTCTTACGTAAGTCAAAGAGTTATGCTGTGTCCCCTCTGTTTCTACTTTAAGTGCAGTTTTAGTGCCCCATGGTAACTGCCGATACTAATAACACTGTGCAATAGAAATGTTTATAAAACAATGGTGGTGGTTTCAGACTGCAGGAGCTGGAGCTGCAGAAGTGCGTGTGGGAGGAGAAAGGCGAGAAAGTGGAGGAGCACTGGAGAGCCTGGGACAAAGAGTCAAAACAAAGTCATTCTGAGAATCAGACCACTCTCAAACAGGCCAAGAAGGTGGCTGTGGTCAACTGGTGGAAAGCTCTGAGTGGAGAGAAGGCCAAGAGAGGAACTAATGAAGTGACTCCAAGCCAGGATCTCTCTCAGACACAGACGAAGCTCAAAGCTGCAGAGCAGACCATCACTGATATGAGGGAGCAGGTCTGTCACCTGCAAGCCTCACTAAGATCTGCTCAGGGCCTGGTCAATGAACAAAAAGCCTGTAGCCCTGTCCTCTCTGTAGACAAGGCCACTAATACTGAGCTAAAGGAGAAACCGCTGGAGCCCACGGGTAAAGAGCGGAGGGATGTAGCCGTGGAGACGGACCCTGTGGCAGTCACAGGTGAATTAACATCTCAACAAGAGAAACTCCAACTTCAGCTGACCGCAGACCGAGTGTTGGTGACGCTGAAGAAGATGGAGGTCATGGTGAACAGTGCCCTGGATACGGCCGAGCGAGTGAAGGAGAGTGAGCAGAGGGTGAGTCGGGTGAAGCAAAGGATGGAGAGCATCACACAGAAGGTGGAGGAGGCTCTGGGTCGGACTGCCAGCACTGAAAGGCAGCTGGACCATCTCCAGGCTAATATTTCAGCACAAACACAAGCAGTAAGTCATTTTTACAATTATATTTGTTGTTGGTTTGACCACAGACATCTGCGCTGTTATTTTTACAAACTATATTTATACACCACAACAGAGAGGGGCACATTTCTTGACTGAACAGCCTCATCTAGTGGTACAACATGTTATAACGGTCTTCAAGACAGAAATGTACCTTTATAGTACAGCTACAATTGGTTTTCTATGGCACATACTGCATATTTGGGGCTATTTGAGGTTTGACACATTAATTTTAGCCAGAAGTACCTTTATGTTTGTCCTAAACTTGTAGGCTGTTTTGGAAGACCCATCATGTCCTTCACAGTCAGCTGATCCTAAAGCAGACAGTGTTGACCGGACAAACACTGCTCAAATGGAGGAGGATACAAACACTGACCCCATCTCCCAGCCTCTGCCCCCCACCCTTTCTGTGACCCCTGACCTCATGGAGCAGCTCAATGAGACTGGTAGGCCATTTAGAATGGATAATTATTAATCATCTTTACAGCAAAACTTAATTTTATCACATAGTTTCTACTAG